GTTTAGTGAGAATGTGAGTGGGTGGGTGAGTGGGTGGGTGAGTCTATGTGGGTGATTGGGTGAGTATGTGGGTGGGTGTTTTAGTGAGAGTGGGTGGGTGAATAAGTGGGTGAGGTGAGTGTGTGGGTGTGTAGGCGAGTGGGAAGACAAAGGCGGCCGGGCAGGCATGGCCCCTGCCCTCCCACCCCCTCGTGTTGCTAGAGTCCAGTGACCTTCACAGGCAACGCTGCTGCTGCTGCTGCTACTCGCTACTAATAGCCACTTGCCCCAAGTCTGTTACAAGCTACGAGGGGGGGGCTGGTCTCCGTCTCGGTATAAAATATTTAAAAAGACTTTTTTTAAAAACAAGCTTTAATTAAATGTACCGTGCTAGTCGTGGCAGAACTCCACGACTTCAGGAAGTGGCCCCGCGGATTGCCACAGCGCAAGGGGCCGTGGTGACGCGAGTTGAGCGTGGACATTTAGACCCGTAAACAAGTATAACCCGTAAAAACAAAGTTTTTCACTATAAATCTTTTATATGCGTGGCGGCTAGAATCCTCTCGTCCTCTGGCTTGAGATGGCTGCCACCTATGGGTCAGATGATTGCATGCCACCATTAAGCAATTGGTAATTAAATATATTTTTTGTCCTAAAAAGTGGAAAATTTTGGAAAAAAATTTGCACGAACATAAATTGTCACGCACAACGAGTCTGCGTGCAAAATGTCAGCTCGCTTAGATCACGGGAAGTGGGTTAAAAAACGACCGAAAGATTTGCACGGTCGTAAGCACGCAAGCGAACTTAATATAAAGGATTTAAAAAGATCGCTTAAAAATTTGTTTTTTAATTTTTAAATGATAGAATATAGTATTGTCATCAGTATGACATGCCTATATCAAGTTAGCAGTCAATACCACATTGGGAAGACGGTTTAAATAGAGTTACAAGATTTGAGGATACGACAACAACAGACAGCGAGTTAAATAAAAGCGTGTAAAATGTTTAAAAATATATATTCTTTTTCAATGATAGAATATAGTATTGTCATCAGTACGGCATAAGTATACCAAGTTTGCAGTCGATACGACATTGGGAAGGCGGTTTAACTATTTAAAAACACTACGAGACCTCCTTAACCAGTGGCAAAAATAGTGATAGGTTTTTACCCTTTAAACTGGTACAAAAACTGACACCTTTATACAAGAGATCATGTTTGCAATAACCACAACACAAGCAGTCAAAATGCAAACAAAAAGAAACAACTCTGATGATGATGATATGCACCGTCTTTGAAGTTGATTGGTCCACACCCGAGACAGTTTTTCTTAGAGCCTAGTCTCCATTGGTGTTGGACCAGATGACGCCAAAAGGCGTACAACTCAAAGACAGCGCACTATCAGAGTATTGACAGCTCGGGGTAAGCATTTACACTAAGAGACATCTCCTTTACCAGTGGCAAAAATAGTGATAGGTTTTTACCCTTTAAACTGGTACAAAAACTGACACCTTTATACAAGGCATCATGTTTGCAATAACCACAACACAAGCAGTCAAAATGCAAAAAAAAGAAACAACTCTGATAATGATGATATGCACTGTCTTTGAAGTTGATTGGTCCACACCTGAGACAGCTTTTCTTAGAGCCGAGTCTCCATTGGTGTTGGACCAGATGACGCCAAAAGGCGTACAACTCAAAGTATTGAGAGCTCTGGGTACTCGAGTTACAAGATTTGAGGATACGACAACAGCAGACAGAGCAAGTTAAATAAAAGCGTGTAAAATGTAAAAAAATGTATTTTTTATTTTCAATGTTATAATATAGTATTGTCATCAGTATGACACAAGTATACCAAGTTTGCAGTCGATACCACATTGGGAAGTGGGTTAAAATTTAGTTACAAGATTTTTTAAGGATACGACAACAACAGACAGCTTGATTCGGTAAAGCCACGTAGATGAAAATTTAAAATAATAAAATGAAAATGACTAAATTACGTGATTTCATGATTTCATTTAGTTATTTACCGAAAGAACCAAAGAGTATGGATTCTTGCAGTCACAAAAACTTCTAATCTAGAACAGACGGAGCGAGTTAAATAATAAAAGAGTGGAATAATAAACAAACAGCAGCCAGTGGACGGCTACCAGAGTGGCAAGCGTTGCCAGTAGAGATTTGCTGCTATGGCGGAGGCTCATGAAGGACCAGAGGTCGCAACCAGGTACCCGATACCCGTACCCTACCCGATACCCGGCTACCCGTACCGGGCCGGGTACGGGTAGCCGCACGTGACCCACCCCAACCAATGAGTGAGAAGGCCGTGAGTCACTGGTGAGTCACCGTTTGTCACTCATTTCCCAACGTCTTGTCTCTTCTCACAATTCAAGTTCCTAGAATCAACCCACCCGCGCCTGCAACATGGCTTCATCCCAGAGGTCGCAATCGGGTACCCGTACCCTACCAGATACCCGGCCGGGTACGGGTAGCCGGGTATCGGGTAGGGTACGGGTACCCATTTGCGGCCCTGGTGCGGCCGGGTACGGGTTAGGAATCAAAACCCGTTTGCAACCTCTGTGAAGGACGCTGCTGCTACAGGAAAGTTGGAGGCAGTCGCCCTCCAACAACAACGGAGGGCGGACGAGCGACGCTCACAACAACGAGCGGAGCGCCGGGTGGCTAAAGCACAGCAAGTTGGCACAGTAGGAGGCAAAGGTGGTGCATCAGCCAGCCATCTGAGTCAGTACCCAGCCTGACACAGCAGTCAACCCGTGGCATCTGCTGGGTCTGTCCCGTGACCTCCTGTACCTAGCCTGGCACAGCAGTCAACCCATGGCATCTGCTGGGTCTGTCCCGTGACCGGCTGTACCTAGCCTGGCACAGCAGTCAACCCGTGGCATCTGCTGGGTCTGTCCCGTGACCTCCTGTACCTAGACTGGCACAGCAGTCAACCCGTGGCATCTGCTGGGTCTGTCCCGTGACCTCCTGTACCTAGCCTGGCACAGCAGTCAACACGTGGCATCTGCTGGGTCTGTCCCGTGACCTCCTGTACCTAGCCTGGCACAGCAGTCAACCCGTGGCATCTGCTGGGTCTGTACCGTGACCTCCTGTACCTAGCCTGGCACAGCAGTCAACCCGTGGCACCTGCTGGGTCTGTACCGTGACCTCCTGTACCTAGCCTGGCACAGCAGTCAACCCGTGGCATCTGCTGGGTCTGTCCCGTGACCTCCTGTACCTAGCCTGGCACAGCAGTCAACCCGTGGCATCTGCTGGGTCTGTCCCGTGACCTCCTGTACCTAGCCTGGCACAGCAGTCAACCCGTGGCATCTGCTGGGTCTGTACCGTGACCTCCTGTACATAGCCTGGTACAGCAATTAACCCGTGGCATCTGCTGGGTCTGTCCCGTGACCTCCTGTGCCTAGCCTGGCACAGCAGTCAACCCCGTAGCACCTGTTGGGTCTGTCCTGTGACCTCCTGTACTTAGCCTGGCACAGCAGTCAACCCGTGGCACTTGCTGGGTCTGTCCCGTGACCTCCTGTACCTAGCCTGGCACAGCAATCAACCCGTGGCATCTGCTGGGTCTGTCCCGTGACCTCCTGTACCTAGCCTGGCACAGCAGTCAACCCGTGGCATCTGCTGGGTCTGTCCCGTGACCTCCTGTACCTAGCCTGGCACAGCAGTCAACCCGTGGCATCTGCTGGGTCTGTCCCGTGACCTCCTGTACCTAGTCCTGGCACAGCAGTCAACCCGTGGCATCTGCTGGGTCTGTCCCGTGACCTCCTGTACCTAGCCTGGCACAGCAGTCAACACGTGGCATCTGCTGGGTCTGTCCCGTGACCTCCTGTACCTAGTCTGGCACAGCAGTCAACCCGTGGCATCTGCTGGGTCTGTCCCGTGACCTCCTGTACCTAGCCTGGCACAGCAGTCAACCCGTGGCATCTGCTGGGTCTGTCCTGTGACCTCCTGTACCTAGCCTGGCACAGCAGTCAACCCGTGGCACCTGCTGGGTCTGTCCCGTGACCTCCTGTCCGTGAGCCTTTGACACTTAAGATGGCCTCAAAGTGCACCTGGCCTGGCACAGGTGCCATGGTGACATCACCGTCACTTAGTGGCGAGCGGTATTGGTGGTGATGATGATGGTGCTGGTGATGATGGTGGTGTTGATGATGATAGAGATGATGATGGAAATGATGGCGATGGTGGTAGAGATGATGATAGTGGTGGTGATGATTATTTGTGACCGTGCTATTTGTATCGTTGTGTGTGTTTGTGTATCTGTTCGTGTGGTCGTGTAGCGGTAAGTGCACTGCTGCTACATATTTGGAGTCTCCCCTAGCATCTCCCTCCCCGCGTGTCTCCCTCCCCGTGTGTCTCCCTCCCCGTGTCTCCCCTAGCATCTCTCTCCCCGTGTGTCTCCCTCCCCGTGTCTCCCCTAGCATCTCTCTCCCCGTGTGTCTCCCTCCCCGTGTCTCCCCTAGCATCTCCCTCCCCTAGCATCTCCCTCCCCTAGCATCTCCCTCCCCTAGCATCTCCCTCCCCTAGCGTCTCCCTCCCCGTGTCTCCCCTAGCATCTCCCTCCCCTAGCATCTCCCTCCCCTAGCATCTCCCTCCCCTAGCATCTCCCTCCCCTAGCGTCTCCCTCCCCGCGTGTCTCCCTCCCCGCGTGTCTCCCTCCCCGCGTGTCTCCCTCCCCGCGTGTCTCCCTCCCCGCGTGTCTCCCTCCCCGCGTGTCTCCCTCCCCGCGTGTCTCCCTCCCCGCGTGTCTCCCTCCCCGCGTGTCTCCCTCCCCGCGTGTCTCCCTCCCCGCGTGTCTCCCTCCCCGCGTGTCTCCCTCCCCGCGTGTCTCCCTCCCCGCGTGTCTCCCTCCCCGCGTGTCTCCCTCCCCGCGTGTCTCCCTCCCCGCGTGTCTCCCTCCCCGCGTGTCTCCCTCCCCGCGTGTCTCCCTCCCCGCGTGTCTCCCTCCCCGCGTGTCTCCCTCCCCGCGTCTCCCCTAGCGTCTCCCTCCGTGTCCCCCGCGTCTCACCTGGGGATCTGTCTCAGGTCTCCGCTCTCCGAGTCTCCGCTGAACCAGATCTCCAGGAGCTTCTCTGTCCCCTCGAAGAAGTGGCTGCCATCAGCTCCACCTCCTCCTCCATCACCATCACCACCTCCTCCTCCTCCTCCTCCCGCGTGATGGTTATGGGAGGGCGTGGGAGCGGGGGGAGCGGGGCTAACCTCGTGATGTTCCTGCATGGTGATGGCGGCGGTATTGCTTGTGATGATGGTGGTATTGCTGGTGATGTCCTGATGGCGTTGTTGATGATGGTGGTGATGATGATGGTATTGTTGGTGATGTCCTACCGATGTCCTACCGATGGCGTTGTTGATGGTGGTGATGATGATGGTGGTATTGCTGGTGATGTCCTACCGATGGTGTTGATGATGATGATGGTGATGATGATGGTATTGCTGGTGATGTCCTACCGATGGCGTTGTTGATGATGGTGGTGATGATGGTGGTATTGTTGGTGATGTCCTACCGATGGTATTGTTGATGGTGGTGATGGTGGTATTGCTGGTAATGTCCTACCGATGGTGTTGATGATGGTGATGATGATGGTGGTGTGATACCAATGTCCTACCAATGGTATTGATGGTGATGACGGTGCTATTGGTGCTATTGGTGCGATGCCTTACTGATAGCGCACTAATTTTTACGTTGATATTGATGGTGGCGGTGGTGATATTGGTGATATTCAGTTGCCGATGTTAATGCTCCTGGCTGCTGCAGTTTACAATGCCAATGATGATGATCCAGCTGCCTACGATTGTGTTTTTTTCGCTTGCCGATTGCAGCCGATGTTACTGCTGCCGACGACGACGATGATCGTCAACCTATGATGGTGTCGACAATTAAGCCGGGCAACCCCGGGAATGCCTTCAGAGTTTTCCCCACTCTCTTAAACTCTTGAATCGACAAACTTTGGTGGTGGCACCGGGAACTCACTAATGTTTGGGGGGGGGGGGAGGGGGACGGGGACTTGAATCACCTGTCGAGAGAACGAGAGAAACAAAAATCTGTTTCGGGCGATCGAATGTTAAAACAGGTAAAATTTTGCACAACAAACTATATAAATAATTGGTTCTTTACCCTTCTATCTGGCAACAAAACTGACACCTTTTTGCAAGGAGTCATGTTTGCATAGACCGCAATACCTGCAGTCATAAATACAAACAAAAGACATAACTCTGATAATGTGCACTGTCCTATCAGAGTTATGTCTTTTGTTTGTATTTATGACTGCAGGTATTGCGGTCTATGCAAACATGACTCCTTGCAAAAAGGTGTCAGTTTTGTTGCCAGATAGAAGGGTAAAGAACCAATTATCATATTTTTACTGGCAAATGAGGTCCCCATAGTGAAACTATATAAACGTGTGAAATGGGGCATCAAATGTTGGCAACGGTAGGCTTCATGCAGCGATGTTGTTGCGGGGGTATACGCGGGTATCCAACTGTAGGGTTGTTGTTGTTATTGTTGTTGTTAAAGTCCTCTTGAAATCATTGAAGGTGGTGGGTGGGTGGGACAATGTGGATGTCGAATTTTTAGATGGGTACCCTGTCGAAATGTAGAATTGTACAAAGAGAACTACTATGATAGAATTGTAAAAAAACAACAACAGTATTGTGAAAAAAACAATTGAATAGAATTGTTAAAAAACTATCTATAATACATTTGTACAAAAAACTATCTTTAATAGATTTGTACAAAAAACAATCTTTAATAGATTTGTAAACAAGTAAACCTGTAAAAACAAAGTTTTTCACTATAAATCCTTTATATGCGTGGCGGCTCGAGACCAGGTCTGTCGTGACAATTGTATTTTATTATGTTTTATTTTTATTATTTAATCCTTTATATTAAGTTCACTCGCTTGCTTGCTTACGACCGTGCAAATCTTTCGGTCGTTTTTTAACCCACTTCCCGTGATCCAATCGAGCTGACATTTTGCACACAGACTCGTTGTGCGAGACAATTAATGTTCGTGAATTTTTTTTTCCAACATTGTACACTGTTTAGGGAAAACAAATTAAATATGTAATTACCAATTGCTTAATGGTGGCAGACAATCATCTGACCCATAGGTGGCAGCCATCTCAAGCCAGAGGACGAGAGGACTCTAGCCGCCACGCATATAAAGGATTTAGAGTGAAAAACTTTGTTTTTATTATTTTATTATTTCCCTTCTACGTGACTTTACCGAAAGAACCAAGAAGATGAATCCCTGCAATCACGAAAGCTTTAAATCATAATAAAATATTTTTATGTTTTATTTATTATTAAATTATTAAATAAAACATAATAAAATATTTGTAAAATATTTATAATGTTTTATTTTTATTATTTTATTATTTCCCTTCTACGTGACTTTACCGAAAGAACCAAGAAGATGAATCCCTGCAGTCACGAAAGCTTTAAATCGAAACTGACTACATGTTTAAGTTATTCCGCCGAATGAAAGCGTCGTACAATGGAACGGAGCGGGGGGGGGGCTCAATAGCAACTTTAAAGAACTGCGTAGCGTTGCATACGAACGTCGCCTGAACGTTCGCTTCGCAACTTTCAAATTGAAATCTCTGCTGTGTGCGCTCTGTGTGTGCTGTGTGTGTGTGTGCTGTGTGTGTGTGTGCTGTGTGTGTGCTGTGTGCGTGTGTGCTGTGTGTGTGTGTGCTGTGTGTGTGCGCTGTGTGTGTGCGCTGTGTGTGTGCGCTGTGTGTGTGCGCTGTGTGTGTGCGCTGTGTGTGTGCTTGATGTGTGTGTGCTTGATGTGTGTGTGCTTGATGTGTGTGTGTGTGATGTGTGTGTGTGTGCTGTGTGTGTGCTGTGTGTCTATGCTGTGTGTGTGCTGTGTGTGTGTGATGTGTGTGCGCTGTGTGTCTATGCTGTTTGCCCTGCGTGCGCTCTGTGTGTGTGGTGTGTGTGTGCTGCGTGTGTGTTGTGTGCGTGCACTGTGTGCGTGCGCTGTGTGTGTCTAGTGTGTGTGCTGTGTGTGTCTAGTGTGTGTGCTGTGTGTCTAGTGTGTGTGCTGTGTGTGTCTAGTGTGTGTGCTGTGTGTGTCTAGTGTTTGTGCTGTGTGTGTGCTGTGTGTGTCTAGTGTGTGGTGTGTGTGTGTGTGTGCAGGGTGTGTGTGGTATGTGTGCTGTGTGCGCGCTGTGTGTCTATGCTGTGTGGTGTGTGTGCTGTGTGTCTATGCTGTGTGTGCTGTGTGCAGGGTGTGTGTGGTATGTGTGCTGTGCGCGTGCTGTGTGTCTATGCTGTGTGTGGTGTGTGTGCTGTGTGTCTATGCTGTGTGTGGCGTGCGTGCTGTGTGCTCGCTGTGTGTGGTGTGTGTGCTGTGTGTCTATGCTGTGCGAGCTGCGTGATGTGTGTGGGCTGTGTGTGGGCTGTGTGTGGGCTGTGTGTGGGCTGTGTGTGGGCTGTGTGTGGGCTGTGTGTGTGCAGGGTGTGTGTGCAGGGTGTGTGGTGTGTGTGCTGTGCGCGCTGTGTGTCTATGCTGTGTGTGGTGTGCGTGCTGTGTGTCTATGCTGTGTGTGGTGTGTGTGCCTGTGCTGTGTGTGGTGTGCGCGCTGTGTGTCTATGCTGTGTGTGGTGTGTGTGCTGTGTGTCTATGCTGTGCGAGCTGCGTGCTGTGTGTGGGCTGTGTGTGGGCTGTGTGTGGGCTGTGTGTGTGCAGGGTGTGTGCAGGGTGTGTGTGCAGGGTGTGTGTGGTATGTGTGCTGTGTGTCTATGCTGTGTGTGGTGTGTGTGCTGTGTGTCTATGCTGTGTGTGCTGTGTGTGTGCTGTGTGTCTGTGCTGTGTGTGGTGTGTGTGCTGTGTGTCTATGCTGTGTGTGCTGTGTGTATGTGCTGTGTGTGCTGTGTGTCTGTGCTGTGTGTGGTGTGTGTGTGTGCTGTGTGTCTATGCTGTGTGTGGTGTGTGTGTGTGCTGTGTGTCTATGCTGTGTGTGGTGTGTGTGCTGTGTGTCTATGCTGTGTGTGCTGTGTGTGTGCTGTGTGTCTGTGCTGTGTGTGGTGTGTGTGCTGTGTGTCTATGCTGTGTGTGCTGTGTGTCTGTGCTGTGTGTGGTGTGTGTGTGTGCTGTGTGTGGTGTGTGTGTGTGCTGTGTGTCTGTGCTGTGTGTGGTGTGTGTGCTGTGTGTCTATGCTGTGTGTGGTGTGTGTGTGTGCTGTGTGTCTGTGCTGTGTGTGGGGTGTGTGTGTGCTGTGTGTCTGTGCTGTGTGTGGTGTGTGTGCTGTGTGTCTATGCTGTGTGTGGTGTGTGTGCTGTGTGTCTATGCTGTGTGTGCTGTGTGTCTGTGCTGTGTGTGGTGTGTGTGTGTGCTGTGTGTCTATGCTGTGTGTGGTGTGTGTGTGCTGTGTGTCTATGCTGTGTGTGGTGTGTGTGCTGTGTGTCTGTGCTGTGTGTGGTGTGTGTGCTGTGTGTGGTGTGTGTGTGTGCTGTGTGTCTGTGCTGTGTGTGGTGTGTGTGCTGTGTGTCTATGCTGTGTGTGGTGTGTGTGTGTGCTGTGTGTCTGTGCTGTGTGTGGTGTGTGTGTGTGCTGTGTGTCTGTGCTGTGTGTGGTGTGTGTGCTGTGTGCTCGCTGTGTGTCTGTGCTGTGTGTGGTGTGTGTGCTGTGTGTCTATGCTGTGTGTGGTGTGTGTGCTGTGTGCTCGCTGTGTGTCTATGCTGTGTGTGGTGTGTGTGCTGTGTGTCTGTGCTGTGTGTGGTGTGTGTGCTGTGTGCTCGCTGTGTGTGGTGTGTGTGCTGTGTCTGTGCTGTGTGTGGTGTGTGTGCTGTGTGTCTGTGCTGTGTGTGGTGTGTGTGCTGTGTGCTCGCTGTGTGTGGTGTGCGCGCTGTGTGTCTGTGCTGTGTGTGGTGTGTGTGCTGTGTGTCTATGCTGTGTGTGGTATGTGTGCTGTGTGCTCGCTGTGTGTCTGTGCTGTGTGTGGTGTGTGTGCTGTGTGTCTATGCTGTGTGTGGTGTGTGTGCTGTGTGTCTATGCTGTGTGTGGTGTGTGTGCTGTGTGCTCGCTGTGTGTCTGTGCTGTGTGTGGTGTGTGTGCTGTGTGTCTGTGCTGTGTGTGGTGTGTGTGCTGTGTGCTCGCTGTGTGTGGTGTGTGTGCTGTGTCTGTGCTGTATGTGGTGTGTGTGCTGTGTGTCTATGCTGTGTGTGGTGTGCGCGCTGTGTGTCTGTGCTGTGTGTGGTGTGTGTGCTGTGTGTCTATGCTGTGTGTGCTGTGTGTCTGTGCTGTGTGGTGTGTGTGTGCTGTGTGTCTATGCTGTGTGGTGTGTGTGTGCTGTGTGTCTGTGCTGTGTGTGGTGTGTGTGCTGTGTGCTCGCTGTGTGTGGTGTGTGTGCTGTGTGTCTATGCTGTGTGGTGTGCGCGCTGTGTGTCTGTGCTGTGTGTGGTGTGTGTGCTGTGTGTCTATGCTGTGTGTGCTGTGTGTCTGTGCTGTGTGGTGTGTGTGTGCTGTGTGTCTATGCTGTGTGGTGTGTGTGTGCTGTGTGTCTGTGCTGTGTGTGGTGTGCGCGCTGTGTGTCTGTGCTGTGTGCTGTGTGCTGTGTCTATGCTGTGTGTGCTGTGTGTCTGTGCTGTGTGGTGTGTGTGTGCTGTGTGTCTATGCTGTGTGGTGTGTGTGTGCTGTGTGTCTATGCTGTGCGAGCTGCGTGCTGTGCGAGCTGCGTGCTGTGTGTGTGCTGTGTGTGTGCTGTGTGTGTGCTGTGTGTGTGCTGTGTGTGTGCTGTGTGTGCTGTGTGTGTGTGCTGTGTGCGTGTGCTGTGTCGGTGCTGTGTCGGTGCTGTGTCGGTGCTGTGTCAGTGCTGTGTGTGTCTGTGCTGTGTGTGTCTGTGCTGTGTGTGTCTGTGCTGTGTGTGTCTGTGCTGTGTGTGTCTGTGCTGTGTGTGTCTGTGTGTGTCTGTGCTGTGTGTCTGTGCTGTGTGTGTCTGTGCTGTGTGCTGTGTGCTGTGTGTGTGCAGGGTGTGTGTGCAGGGTGTGTGTGCAGGGTGTGTGCTGTGCGCGTGTGTGCTGTGCGCGTGTGTGCTGTGCGCGTGTGTGCTGTGCGCGTGCGTGCTGTGCGCGTGCGTGCTGTGCGCGTGCGTGCTGTGCGCGTGCGTGCTGTGCGCGTGCGTGCTGTGCGCGTGCGTGCTGTGCGCGTGCGTGCTGTGCGCGTGCGTGCTGTGCGCGTGCGTGCTGTGCGCGTGCGTGCTGTGCGCGTGAGTGCTGTGCGCGTGCGTGCTGTGCGCGTGCGTGCTGTGCGCGTGCGTGCTGTGCGCGTGCGTGCTGTGCGCGTGCGTGCTGTGCGCGTGCGTGCTGTGCGCGTGCGTGCTGTGCGCGTGCGTGCTGTGCGCGTGCGTGCTGTGCGCGTGCGTGCTGTGCGCGTGCGTGCTGTGCGCGTGCGTGCTGTCGCGTGCGTGCTGTGCGCGTGCGTGCTGTGCGCGTGCGTGCTGTGCGCGTGCGTGCTGTGCGCGTGCGTGCTGTGCGCGTGCGTGCTGTGCGCGTGCGTGCTGTGCGCGTGCGTGCTGTGCGCGTGCCGTGCTGTGCGCGTGCGTGCTGTGCGCGTGCGTGCTGTGCGTGCGCTGGCGCGTGCTGTGCGCGTGCGTGCTGTGCGCGTGCGTGCTGTGCGCGTGTGTGCTGTGCGCGTGTGTGCTGTGCGCGTGTGTGCTGTGCGCGTGTGTGTTGTGCGTGTGCGTGCTGTGCGCGTGTGTGCTGTGCGCGTGCGTGCTGTGCGCGTGCGTGCTGTGCGCGTGCGTGCTGTGCGCGTGCGTGTTGTGCGCGTGCGTGTTGTGCGCGTGCGTGCTGTGCGCGTGCGTGCTGTGCGCGTGCGTGCTGTGCGCGTGTGTGCTGTGCGCGTGTGTGCTGTGCGCGTGTGTGCTGTGCGCGTGTGTGTGCTGTGCGCGTGTGTGCTGTGCGCGTGCGTGCTGTGCGCGTGCGTGCTGTGCGCGTGTGTGTTGTGCGCGTGTGTGCTGTGCGCGTGCGTGTTGTGCGCGTGCGTGTTGTGCGCGTGCGTGCTGTGCGCGTGCGTGCTGTGCGCGTGCGTGCGCGTGCGTGCTGTGCGCGTGTGTGCTGTGCGCGTGTGTGCGTGCTGTGTGTTGTGCGCGTGTGTGTTGTGCGCGTGTGTGCTGTGCGCGTGTGTGCTGTGCGCGTGTGTGCTGTGCGCGTGTGTGCGTGTGCTGTGCGCGTGTGTGCTGTGCGCGTGTGTGCTGTGCGCGTGTGTGCTGTGCGCGTGTGTGCTGTGCGCGTGTGTGCGTGCTGTGTGCTGTGCGCGTGCGTGTGTGCGTGTGTTCTGTGCGCGTGTGTGCTGTGCGCGTGTGTGCTGTGCGCCTGTGTGCTGTGCGCGTGTGTGCGTGCTGTGTGCTGTGCGCGTGTGTGCTGTGCGCGTGTGTGTTGTGCGCGTGTGTGCTGTGCGTGCTGTGCGCGTGTGTGTTGTGCGCGTGTGTTCTGTGCGCGTGTGTGTTGTGCGCGTGTGTGCTGTGCGCGTGTGTTCTGTGCGCGTGTGTGTTGTGCGCGTGTGTGCTGTGCGCGTGTGTGCTGTGCGCGTGTGTGCGTGCTGTGTGTTGTGCGCGTGTGTGCTGTGCGCGTGTGTGTTGTGCGCGTGTGTGCTGTGCGTGCTGTGCGCGTGTGTGTTGTGCGCGTGTGTGTTGTGCGCGTGTGTGCTGTGCGTGCTGTGCGCGTGTGCTCTGTGTGCGTGCTGTGTGTGTGCTGGTTGCGTATGATCGTGAATAGTCGCCGTCTCTACACTATCGCTGCTAATAATACTAATTATTGTTGTTGTTATTGATGATGGCGGTGGTGTAGTGGTTAGTGGTGGAGTTGTAGTGGTGGTGTAGTGGTTGGTGTTGTAGTGTAGTGGTGGTGTAGTGTAGTGGTGGTGTAGTGGTGGTAGTGTAGTGGTGGTGGTGTAGTGGTGGTAGTGTAGTGGTGGTGGTGTAGTGGTGGTGGTGATGTAGTGTAGTGGTGGTGGGGTGGATGTAGTGTAGTGGTGGTGGGGTGGATGTAGTGTAGTGGTGGTGTAGTGGTGGTAGTGTAGTAGTGGTGTAGTGTTGTAGTGTAGTGGTTGGTGTTGTAGTGTAGTAGTGGTGCAGTTGTTGTGGTGGTGTAGTGGTGGTGGTATAGTGGTAGTGATGGTAGAGTGGTGGTGTAGTTGTTGTTGTGTAGTGGTGTAGTTGTGGTGTAGTTGTGCTGTTGTTGTGTAGTTGTTGTTGTTGTGGTGGATGTCGCCTTGCCACCACCACCACCGCGTGAACAAACCGCGCAGTTCAGGGGGGGGGGCTGGGGGGCCCCCCTAATTGATTGACCTCTTCCCTCACGAAACCAGCGATTTTTTTTCTCCGAACTAATTTCACGACGGAGACGACGACGACGACCGGAAAACGACGAATTATCGACGCTTAGCGAACAAAATAATAAAAATCCCGCGCACGCAAAATCACGGTCTGAGGTAATCCACCATCATCATCACCTCCTCGTGTTGAATGAAGGCCTTCCACCACCACCTCCACCTCTGCTGCTGCTGTGGTCGCCCCCCTTTGTAAAGTCGCTGTTGCCGCTGTAGCCGCTGTAGCCGCTGCTGCTGTAGCTGTAGCCGCTGTAGCTGCTGTAGTGGCTATTGGTTAGTGGCTGGGTGAGAGGACCCGCTAGCTAATGTCGTCGGCCATGCTGTGTGAGGCACGGCCGCCTTCAGTGAGGGGGAGCGCCTCGTGGGCCACGCGCTTATATAGGGGACGAGGGGGAGGGGGGCGTGGTCTGAGCGCGGTGACGTCAGCACGTTGTGGAGGTGAGCGTGGTGACGTCATCACGTTGTGGCGGTGAGCGTGGTGACGTCATCACGCTTAAACGCCCCCCTTCGAACTCGCCCCGCCTCTCTCTCTTCAGCGTGGTGACGTCACCACGCTCACCCCCCCTACCTCGCCCCGCCTCTCTTCAGCGTGGTGACGTCACCACGCTCACCCCCCCCTACCTCGCCTCGCCTCTCTTCAGCGTGGTGACGTCACCACGCTCACCCCCCCCATTTCGCCTCGCCTCTCTTCAGCGTGGTGACGTCACCACGCTGAAGTGAGGCGAGCGTGGTGACGTCACCACGCTCACCCCCCCTACCTCGCCCCGCCTCTCTTCAGCGTGGTGACGTCACCACGCTCACCCCCCCCCACCTCGCCTCTCTTCAGCGTGGTGACGTCACCACGCTCACCCCCCCTACCTCGCCCCGCCTCTCTTCAGCGTGGTGACGTCACCACGCTCACCCCCCCCACCTCGCCTCTCTTCAGCGTGGTGACGTCACCACGCTCACCCCCCCTACCTCGCCTCGCCTCTCTTCAGCGTGGTGACGTCACCACGCTGAAGAGAGGCGAGCGTGGTGACGTCACCACGCTCACCCCTCCTACCTCGCCCCGCCTCTCTTCAGCGTGGTGACGTCACCACGCTAACTCCCCCTACCTCGCCCCGCCTCTCTTCAGCGTCGTGACGTCATCACGCTGAAGAGAGGCGAGCGTGGTGACGTCACCACGCTCGCCCCGCCCCCCCGTCCTTCAAACCAATCGCCGATATTAAGGTCACCGTTAGGGTCACCGGTCGGGCCCACCCGGCGCGCGCACTGTGCGTGGTGACGTCACCGGCGCGTGGTGACGCAATGACGCCGGTTTTGCGACGTGATGACGTCACACGCAGGTTCGCGCCAGAACATTCGCGCGCGATGGGCGAGCGGAGGGGAGGGTGACGTCATAGCTCAGTGACGTCACCTCCCGCGACTGCGCGAGATTTGCGTGGTGACGTCATCGCGTTTGCGGCTCAACGTTTTTGCTCCGCGCGGTGACGTCACAGGAGGCGCAAATGACGTGACGTCACGGGACTGGGAGGGCGCATTTGCAACCGGCGCGATGACGTCATAGCCGAGTGTCGTGTCCACAGTTATGAGCTCATCACCATCATTGGGTCGTGTTCATAAATGACGTCACGCACCTAGGGGGTGTGGGGGGGGGTCAGACATTTGTGACGATGTGTGACGAGGGGGGTTGGGGGGGGGTGAGAAATGTGACGTCACGTCAAAATGAGCAACTTTTAATATAAACAATTGAATTGTTATAACAACACAAATTGTGATACATTTTCATTATTAACTATTTGATCATCTAAATCAGCGATCGGGAACCTGTGGCTCGCGAGCCATATATGGCTCCCAGACAATTTTGAGTTGAAAAAAATAATAATAAAATAATAATAAAATAATAATAAAAAATTAAATCAGTTTTGAACTGATTTTAAAATACTTGTAATATTGCTTAATAATACCGTGCCATTTTAAAGTAAACAGAAATTTGTTTTGAAGATAAAATTTCTCGGGTCACGGGTCCCGTGACCAGAAGTCACATTAAAAGTAAGACATATTTAATTTATTAAACGTTAAAAATACTATATGGCTCTCAATGAAATATATTTAGAAATATTTGGCTTTTATGGCTCTCCCAGTCAAAAAGGTTCCCCACCCCTGATTTGAATTGACTAAGTATGAGCTGTGTTTTGATTTAGTGTGCTGATCTTAAAGGTGCATTGAACAATTATAATACTCTGATTGTTGCTCCTGTTGCAGCTATGGCTGCAGGGTTCTGGTAGTACGTGTTGTTTATGTCATTTATTGTGAAAATTCCATCACAGTTCCTATGATCTGCACTGTTTCATTGCTTTCATGGCTTTATTTAGGTGATTTCGAAAAGTGTATTGGTTTAGCCATGTTTGTGTTGTTGTAGTACAGAGTTAGACTGATGGCCTTAATCTAAGTTGTCTTGTGGTTGTTGTTGTTTGTGTTGTTGTAGTACAGAGTTATATTGATGGCCTTAATCTAAGTTGTCTTGTGGTTGTTGTTGTTGTTGTTTGACTTTCATGGCTTTATTTAGGTGATTTCGAAAAGTGTATTGGTTTGGCCATGTTTGTGTTGTTGTAGTACAGAGTTAGACTGATGGCCTTGATCTAAGTTGTCTTGTGGTTGTTGTTGTTGTTTGACTTGCATCCCACTGGGATTTTTGCACACAGTGTTGGTGTGTAACGGTGATTTTTCTGCAATATTTTTGCTGCCTTTTCTTGGATTTTCTGTTTGCACTCAGTCACATATAGTCACTTTAAGATGTTTTCTTGTTCATGTTTTTGTTTGTTGCGGTTGCACCCGATTCAAGAGCCGAATGGCTCACAGGGCTATACCTAATCAATGAAACTTGAAGGTCACCTTTTATTTATTTTATGAAGGAGAATTTTACTTTTCCATGGGAGAATGGAGAAGCATACATTTTGTAAACGTTTTGAATGATTGTTATTTAACATTTTGATTTTAATGTTTCTACAAGGGCTTTTAATTCTGTGGAATGAACACGTGATTGTTATTATTCTTTGGTTCTTTCGGTAAAGTCACGTATAAAGATAAAATAATTAATTAAACAATAGCATACTACGACGTTTCGATTGTAACACAAGCAATCATCATCAGGTATAAATGAAATAGCGATAAAAAATCGAAGCAGAAAAGTACAGACAGACATTTCGATTTAAAGCTTTCGTGACTGCAGGGATTCATCTTCTTGGTTCTTTCGGTAAAGTCACGTAGAAGGGAAGTAATAAAAGAATAAAAATAAAACATAATAAAATAATATAATAAAATAACATAATAAAATAATTTTATTATGTTTTATTTTTATTATTTTATTACTTCCCTTCTACGTGACTTTACCGAAAGAACCAAGAAGATACAGACAGACATATAAGCAGACAGATATCACCAAGATACATAGAGAGAGAGTAACACAGGCACAGAAAGGGGTGATCGTCTCTGTGGCGTGGCCTTAATTATAATTGTGATTGTTATAATTGTGATTGTTATAGTTGTGATTGTTATAATTGTGATTGTTATAATTGTGATTGTTATGATTGTGATTGTTATAATTGTGATTGTTATAATTGTGATTGTTATAAATGTGATTGTTATAATTGTGATTGTCCTTGAAGTTGATTGGTCCACACCCGAGACGGCTTTCCTTTAAGGAAAGCTGTCTCAAGGACAGTGCATATTATCAGAGTTATGTTCTTTTGTTTGTATTATGACTGCAGGTATTGCGGTCTATGCAAACATGACTCCTTGTAAAAAGGTGTCAGTTTTGTTGCCAGATAGAAGGGTAAAAAACCAATTATCATATTTTTACTGGCAAATGAGGTTCCCATAGTATATTGTTGTTTGCTTTAGATTGCGCGAAGTATCAGTGTGTCGTTAAACCCGACACCAGCACCACCCGACATAGTAAACAAAGTATGGCCAAATTTCGATTTAAAGCTTTCGTGACTGCAGGGATTCATATTCTTGGTTCTTTCGGTAAAGTCACGTAGAAGGGAAATAATAAAATAATATAAATATAAAACAATAAAAAATTCTCGCGACTTTTCTGTGTTGGCGGTCGAAACGTCGTGAGAATTTTGTATTGTTTGATATTTGTATTATATTATTATTATTTCCCTTCTACGTGATTTTACTGAAAGAACCAAGAATGTAAAGCATGGCCAATTGAAACTTGATTTGGAGTTTTCGTGACTGCACGAATTACTCTTTGGTTCTTTTGGTAAAGTCACGGTAAAAAGAGAAATTAATAAATTAAATAACAGAATACGACGTTTCGATTGCAACACAAGCAATCATCATCAGGTACAAATGAAAGAGAAAACATAACCTAGTAGACTTAGAAATATAATGCAATACAGCACAGAGAGTCGGCTAACATAACAGTCAACACCCTACCTGGTTGATTACGTTCTTCCAATGATTGCTATGTGTGTGTCTAGATTTGAAGCTTTCGTAACTGCAAGGATTCATACTCTTAGGTCAAAAATAAAAATAGATAATAAAAGTAATATAAATAATAAGAGATTTTATTTCTATTATTATTTATATATATTATACTTTTTATTTTATTTTTTTATTTTTTTACCTACGTGACTTTACCGAAAAAACCTAAGAGTATGTGTGTGTCTCTCTCTGTGTCTCTGTGTGTCTCTCTCTGCTTGTGTGTCTGTCTGTGTGTCTCTGGTTCTGTGTTTTGTCTCTCTCTCAAATTTAACAATCTTTGGAAGAACGTAATCAACCAGGACAGGGTGTTGACTGTTATGTTAGCCGACTATCTGTGTTGTATCGCATTATATTTCTAAGTTTACTATGTTTGTTGTTTTCTCTTTCATTTGTACCTGATGATGATTGCTTGTGTTGCAATCGAAATGTTGTATGCTATTATTTAATTCATTATTTTCTCTTCTTACGTGACTTTACCGAAAAAAACAAAGAGCATGGCCAATTGGTTACTAGTTCAGCACTAAACCGGTTGTTGTGTGTTGGAGAGTTGATGGTAAATGTGTGTTGTGGGTTTAACTTTCCAACACGCAACCGGTGAGTGCTGTACTATTATACTTATGTAGAGGTGTAATTGCGCATGGCTACGAATGTTGAGGTGTGATTATGCATGGCCACGGATGGCCAACAAACACAAGGGGCGGGGTTACGGCCGTACACAAGGGTGGCGCTCGCACCGACGTCCGCATGTGCATCCCCCACGGGCCCCCCCTCGGGGGCGAGTCCTATAAAAGGTGATGAGCTCGAGGGCTCGGGGTCGGGGCTCAGCCTTAACCAGAGAAGACGGAAGACCAGCTAGTGTAGGCCCCAGAGCTCCCCTGGCTCGCTGTCCTT